TGATCTTCGAAACCTGGAATTAAATTTATATCCCATTAATAATTCAACACTTATTTAAGATTTATGAAAAAATGCTTCAATATTTCGTATCGAATAAAAAAGTGAATTCTTTAAGGACTAAGTTTTTCTGATAGCCATTTTCACCGTTTATTTCCGTCCTTTTTCATTTTTATTTTAATGGAAACCATATTTCAGCTCATTCATTTTTCAGAAGATTAATGCAAAGATTATACAAATCAACTTAGATAATGCAACTTCAGATTATGCAAATCAACTTAAGAACTAAACTGGATGCCGCTTTAGACCTGTTAATTCAACTGTCTGACATAAAACCTAATTTTCAAGACTATTTTGAAAAAATTATTTGCTTAAAAATAATTTCATTCTTCGTTCATACACTGAAGATTTTCAAAATAATTAATAAAATTTAGTTTGTTACATATTTTCAGAACAATTAATAGTCTTTCGAAATTTGCTAATGAAATGTATTTAATAAGTCTCATGGTTCTACCAAATGATGCGAGCATTTAAGGTTCCACAGCCAAATAAAATTCGGAACTGCTGGTATAGGGCCTTGGAATCAATTCTTGTTTTGCCCTGATGTCTATCCAGAATAAGATCTTTAGGTACCAGTTTGTCTGAGAAGTAAAGGTGGCCAGTGCTCTGTGTTACCACAACATGCCGTTGATCTCGTGACTGTGACGCTTCAACCTCCACGATCTCGGATGCTGACAGCTTACTGTTGTGCTACTTCTGTAACTGTTCTGTTAGTTTTATTTCTATTAAATATCTGATTTTTTAAAAATCTGCTTTTTCAAAATGTTGACATATTAAACGGAAAACGACTGAATAGTCAAGGTTTATCTTTTAAAAAAATTGTTCATATAATTTAAAAAAAAAAAAAGCGAAGTGGCAAAGCAAACTGTAATAAGCGGATGACTCTAAAAAATTTAAATAAAAAAGCAATTTATGTCCAAACAAAATGTCACAAAATTGGCTTGTGATTTTTTCTTTTCAATACTTTAAGAGATAATTTCACATGTATTTCCATGCATATAAAAAAGACTATTCATTTACTATTCTGTAAAAAAAATTCAAAATTACTGAAATGTCACTCTCCTGTCCTGTCAGCATTTTGTCAAAATTGTTTACTTCATTTAAAATATTTACTTCAACATTTTAATATTTAAAGTAGCTATGTATACTTAAGGACAATTATATGTAGATGCTTAAAGACATAAAATAATATTTTTTAAACTTTTTAACCATTTAATTTACCAATTTGTATCATTTAAAAGTTTCTCTTAAGATTTTCATGTTAATCTCCTGGCATGAAAATTAATGAGAGTTCTATGTCCGGAGATTTCATCTTAGCCAGATAAGGGAGTATCCCCATTTTGAGCTGGCCGTTCGTGCGTATTTGAAAATGTGCTTTTACCTATCTTAATTACCTCAATTTTACGTTATTTTTATGTTTTCTTGAAATTATTGTCAAAATATTCGTTCCAAATAGCCCAAAAATATAAAAGTAACTATGTATACTTAATGACAATCATATTTATATACTTAAAGGTATAAAATAATATTTCTTAAACTTTTCAACCATTTAGTTTACCAATTTGTATTATTTAAAAGTTTTTCGTAAGATTTTCTCGTCAATCTTCTGGCATGATAATTATTGGGAGTTTTATGTCCGGAAATTTTATCGCAGCCTGATAAGGGAGTATCCCCAATTTGAACTGGCTGTTCGTGCATATTTGAAAAGGTACTTTTACCTATCTTAATTATCTCAATTTTAAGTCATTTTTATGTTTTCTAGAAAATATTGTCAAATGTTACAAATAGCCCAAAAATATTGTTGTAATTTTTTATCATTTTTAAATGATTTAGCGACAACGTTTGGCGAGCTTGCTAAGCTATTTGAGAAATCATTCAATTAAAAGAAGCAGCCATTTATGGACCGATTTGAGATCAATTTTTTTATTATCAGCCTTGAAATGCTCTTTTTGCTTTTCCAATTTTTTTTTAATAATGCAGGCGCCTCAAAAATGAGAAGAAATGTTAAATGCGCTCAATCTTAGCACTCAACTTATGGTGATCCACAATAAAATTAGTTCTTCCTCAACTTTATGTGCGCAGATCAAAAGTATTTCATTTTTACGGAGCGCATGTGACAAGATTGACAAGCATTACATCGTAACGCCATTAACCCATCCGATCCGCGACGAGGGTGGGGCCATGGGAATTGTAAAACGAATGTGTCACATCCACGGGAATCCATTATCTTTAAAGTGTCACGGATCTGACCCCAACTAAAATGTATCTCAAGACAGTGAACGAAAATTAAAAAAATAAAAATAATAAATGGAGAAAATCTGAAAGAATAAAAGTGTCCTAAGATAAAAAGGGGTGAGTAAGGCGAACTATGACAAGGGACAGACTTCCTGCGTAGATTGTCAATTTTTTTTTCTTTTCCTTCCTCGCATCTTAATATCTTTCTTTTCTTCTCTGCTGCTTAGTATATAAATATAACCACAAGGCGTGGTCATGGATAATATTGGAAGAAGATCCTGAAAAAGATGTTACACTTTCTTAGAGATTCACTCGCTCTTTTTTTTTTTAATGCACCTGATGGTGATAAACAACAACATAATTTATATAGCGATAACCACAGTGCTTGCAAAGATGTTTTTACTTTCAGATCCTTTTTACTTGTCATACATTGTGATAGTGACATGGAAACAGTAGGATGATAAAATAAAAATAAGTCACTTCATGGTTTTTGGGAATTTTTCACTTTATAAATAAACATGTTGCCACGAATGATTCAATAAGTTTGCAAAAAAAATATTAGTTGTTAGTTTTCGAAGCGTTAAATGTTTTCGAGTCCTGTCTCGTAATTTAATCTTATTGGAAGAGTTAAATATATAATGCCAAGAAACTGAAGCGGTAAGACATTGCTTGATTAAAAACTTCATTCGTTTCTTCATCACAGTTGGATGATAAAATAAAAATAAGTCACTTCGTGGTTTTTAAAAATTTTCACTTTATAAATAAACATGTTGCCACAAATGATTCAATAAGTTTGCAAAAAAAATTTAGTTGTTAGTTTTCGAAACGTTAAATGTTTTCGAGTCCTGTCTCATAATTTAATTTTATTGGAGGTGTTAAATATATAATCCCAAGAAAAAGCGGTAAGACATTGCTTGATTAAAAACTTCATTCGCTTCGAAAATGTGCAAATTGGAAATAACAATTGACATGTTTCAGAAACAGGAATCCATCTTCAAAATTTGCCAAACGTGAGTGAGAATAAACAAATGATTTGAAATATAAAACGTAAAGTTGCAAAACGAAAAAGGGAAAAATAAAGATGAGAAACAAAACCAGAAAAACCACAATGGCCGAGAGGAGCAAATCAGGATTTTAATCAGACTCTGCTTCGCCCTTCCCGGGTGATGCGGTTTTTCTTGTTCTGTGATTTATCTTTTTTTGAGAGCTTGAAACATGACAACAGTTATTTTCAAAATGAAGCGAATGAAGTTTTTAATCGAGTAATACCTATTAAGGGTGATTAGATTAAAATTGTCTTACTAATTTTTGACAATAATATAAAAGTTAAGGGGTTGATACTCAAATTTGAAACTAAGGGTTTTTAATCAATCACTTCCAATTTTGAAAAATATAAAAATAAATGCGTACTATCACACCAATAACTTTTTTCAGGCTTAAGCTTTGGTTTAAATATTATTTCCTCTCTGAAAGAGTTAACGCAAAGATAAACTTTGCAGTTAAGGAATAATTTATTATTTAACATATATTTTGATACATTTTTATTGAATAACAAAATATTTAAGTTTTTAAATTTAAGAATATTGCAATACTCTAGCTTTTATCGTGTCGTTTGAAAAATTCTATTTCTTTTCTGAATTTATAGTTTCATTTTTTAAAAATTAAGGCAAGTTAAAATATTAAACTACAGAAAATTTATATAAGTTAGACACAATTTGAAATCTAATCAACATGTATCTAACAGAAAATAGCTCTTATGAAGAAAAAAAAATATAAAGGCGTTGCTGATAATTCAAAAGAGGCATTTCTATAACAAAAACACTCCACTAATATTGCATTGCTAAACTATCAGAACATTTGAAACGTTTTTGCTTACTTTAAAATGCTTTAGAGCCAAATACATTCTTTTAGCATATTTTGTGTCATCTATGCTTTGATCTTTGCAAATGCATATTTCAGGAATACTCATACATTTCATTATTTCTCTCTCATTTTTATTCATAACCTATTCAAAGATTTTATTCGTGGCTGTTTAATGTCAAAATTTTCTTGCTTAAGAAAACTGGACGTTTCTGAACGTTACATTTAAATTTTAAAGCGTTTCAAAATATTAAAAGACACGTTTTATTTATGCTATCGTTGAATGTTTGAGCTATATAGATTTTTTCAGTGCACTTTTTTATCATTAAGGTTCAATTGTAAAACAAATAAATGAAGAAAATAGGTTCAAGAAATCAGAAAAATATATAACTATCTTTAAATTTTAAAATTATTTCTGAAGTGGAATTTGATATCACCAGATGGAAACTAATTTAGTCATGAATATACAACTAAAACATTCCAGTAACTAATTGGATTTAACCATCATATACTTTAGTGCCCTGTGTACCTTGGTGTGTCTCTGAAAATTTAAAAAAAAAGAAACTTTGCTATGTTTTTTTCACGCAGAAGTAAGAAATAAAATATTGAGTGTAAATTACAACAATCTAGTTGATCTAGTATAATTTTTCAAACATTAAGTTCTCTTTAGTCAAAGTTCATCTTAAAATATGTTGCAAGAATTTCTCAAATTTTTTTTTAGTGAAAGCAGATGAAGAGTCTGTGGTTTATATAATGCTAGCATGCCAAATTTTGAGTAATTATATTTATTTTATGATTATTGAAGAAATCGTAAGCAGACAAAAAAATTTTCAAACACCTACAAAACCTATATTTCAAAAACCTTTATGTAAGTGTTCTCAATTGAAGATTTACATAAACTTTTTAATTGTATTTATAATTTAATAACATTTAATTTCTATCTGCTTCAGTATTGTGAAGCCCAGTTTAAATTCATATTAATATTCTTTCTCTCTGCGATCCACGTGTAGGTTTGATCAATAAACAGACTTTATTTTAAGAAAAATTGCGTGTGTCATGTTAACTACCACTACTACTTTTGTACGTGTGACTACTTTGTCACAACATTTCCGATCACTTTAGTATTGCAGTCATGGATCTCTTGGATGACATTATTTTCAACCTTTTAATACTAAACGATGATAGATGCTGAAAACAATGAGTTTGGTAGTCGGAGAATCTGAAAAGAAAATTTAAATATTAAACTATGAAATTTTCAAGCAATTTTATCAATCAATTCATTTTTTTCTTGAAAAATATTCTTTAAGTTGATATAAGTTTAAAAAATTAAATGAATGCTTCAAATTATTAAATGATTAACAAATGTCTTCTACTAATTATACAATAAAAATAAATTTGCCTCCTTATGTTTCAAATAAATACAAAAAAATTAATTTGAAACTAAAATTAATTAAAAGCAAGCTTAATTAAAAATAAAATCAATTAGAAAATAAAACAAGCCAAAAATTAATTAAAATTCAAATTAATTAATTTTAAAAATAAAACAAGCTAAAAATTAATTAAAAATTAAAAATTAAATTAATTGAAAAAATTACTATTGATTAAAAAAATTAAAATTAATAAAAAAATTTAAATTAATTTTAAAAAAATTAATTGAAGTTTGTTAAAAGAAATCACAGAATCTCCCTAAAAAATACTTTGATACCAGTGTTTTATTCCGTAAAACAATTTTAGCATATCTTAACACAAATGTTACCAACTACTTCGCACCAAAGTAATATAGAATTAAGGCGTAGTGAAAGACCAAGAATGTTCTTTTCACTACTTTGTGTAAAGTAGCTGACACCATTTTTGGTCTTCAGTAACTCAAATATTTATAATTACGTTAAGATAAGTTACACAGAAGAGATAGAAAAGTTTTTTTTACGTTTCAATATAAGCAAGAATAATTAATTTAGGACGCATTTGTATGCTAATTCTTGAAATAAAATAAGTTTGTAAGATCACATGTGAGCGTGGTAAAGAAAGAATATTAAGACAGATTCGAACTAGGCTTAGCATAACCTAAGCGGACATTATAAAAATTATTTAATACAGTTTAGAGATACGTAAAACCTAAAATGCAAATGTCCTTATTACGCATTAAATATGCATGCATATATAAAGACGAACTTTTTCAGTAATTGTATCGCAGCATTGAAGACAGCATCAACCTTTCATCAACTTGCATTCAAACGTAAACAAGCTATAGAAATCTGAGAAAATATTTAACTTTGTAAAAGTGCGTTGACATAAACTTTTCCCATTATAAAAGTTTTAGATTTGTTTACTTTGTTTACATTAAATTAGGAATCTCGATTTGATAATAAAAAAGTATTCCTTCGCACTTTCTAACGTGGTTCAACATCAAATTCGGTACAATGTAGATAAAAAAATTTTTTTTAAAAAAACTAATTCCGTATCAAATTACGATATAAAGTACCAACACTTTGGGTACATCATCAGTAAAATCCATTTCACCGTAAAATCTATTTTTCCGTAAAACCCATTTTAACTGTAAAATATAACACCTTAATTTTTACAGTAATATTTATTGAATTTTAGTGATTCAGAGATTTTACTGTGATTATTACTTTAAGTTTATCAGATTTTTTTGCTTCGTAACACGTTACGATAAAAATGGATTTTGCGGCCAAAGTACAAGTGCCTTAAATACCGGTACTTTTTACCATAATTTTATTCGGAATTTCTTACAGTACATCCTTTTTTGTAACGAGAATAGGGCTCATTTTAAATCATCTGCAACTGAACGTGATTAAATACCAAAATACAAATATTGTTTTAGTATAAAATTAAAAGATTTATAATTGAAAGCAAAGAGAAGAACACTTTCTTTCCGCAAAATCAGATTCAGAGAAAAAAGTATTTTACGAGTTTGAAGGTAGGATTTTTCCCCATCTTCACAGCGTAATAACTCACGGGGAGAACCTATTTTCCAGGTTATTTATTGTCAAAAAATAGCTGCAAATGGCGATCCAACCCTCCCTTTTTGAGAAAAATGGACAATAAATCTCTCTTTTTCCTTGGTCTTCAATTATCCGCTGCTTTTATTTACTCAAGTGTGGTTGAATAGTTATTTATGACAGTTATTTTGCAGTAAATAACTAACAAGATTATAAATATTACTTTAAAATGCATGAAAGGCATTTCGATCACAGACCGGTGGTTTGCATGTTTGATATGATTTATATGCTTAAAGACGCAATTTAATTCTTAAAAAAAACTTCATTACTTTCATGTTTAGTTTACATATAATTAGCATAATATTTGATAGTTTTTTAAAAAATTTCAATTCAAAGAATTTTAGATGCAAACAAATTTCATCTAAATATTTGCTTTTTACACTTGAAATAAAGTGGCTGATTGTTGTCCTGTGACAAATTTTCTTTCGTTTTTTTTTCTTTTTTTGTTTGTATTGTCATGACAATAATTATTCAAATTTGTCTTGTTATATTTAGTGAAAAAAAGATGTTAAACATAATTATTCAATTAAGATATCGATCTTTTTTTTAAAATTGTATTAACTCAAATCTAAATCTTTTAGCATAAAGCTTAAATGTGATACGTTTGTTTAGTTGCGATTTCATTTTTGTCGACATACTTAATTTTTTAAAGACTTGTTTAATTTTTAGTAACCATAAAAATTCCTTAAATAATTTTCGCCTGAGAGATAATTCGAAAGTTCATATATAGTTTACATAAGAGTTTGTATGAAGCTAATAAAAAAGGTATATTGCTGTATAAAAATCCATAATAGGAATAAACTATTATCAGCTATTATTAAATACTTGATATTAGTTTATTTCTATTATGGATTTATAATCTTAAACAGTTGTTTTGTATTAGTTTGGAATGCATACGCATTCTGAGCACATTTTTCAAAAAATGTTATTATAAAGGTAAATATAAATATAAATAAAACAACATAATATAAATAAGCATTAAATATAAATAAAATTTATTTTCTGTTTTAAAATTGTAAAAATAATAATAATAATAATAATAACGTAGCAAAATAAACTATTGCTATGCAACTACTTTAAAATACATTAAAGGAACACCACTTTTAGCTTTTAGCCTTTAATTTTGAACGATAAATCAAAATCAAAAACCTAATGATAATAGAGAATTGAATTAAGAAGGTTTATTTTTGTAAATTTTAACATTTAAGAAATTAATAATTTTGAATTCGTCAATTATGGAAAAGTCAACTTTTTGCTACATTTGATTAAGTTGAAAGTTCCCGGCAACCTTAATAAAACTCTCCTCAACACACATATTTATTGTAAGTTTTATTTGTTCCAGAGTTGCTTAGGAAACAATAAAAATTTATCAAACGTGATGCTATTGATTAATAAAAACTCATATAAAGCCGTATTAAATTTAACATTACTAAAAATAAAATATTTTTAAATATGCAAATTGAGAAAAAAGTTCTATTCTTCAACTACATTTCCTTATTTGAAAGTTTACTAATTTGAATCTTTTTAAATTGAAAATTCACTGCAACCTTAATAAAACTACGCATCAACCTATGTATTTATAACAGGTTTTATTTGCACTAAAGCAACAATTAGTTTTTAATTACACTAAAGCAAGAATTAGTTTACAATTACAATTTAGGAAACAATAAGTAGATATCAAGCATGATATTATTCATTAATAACACGTTAATGAACTACTCATATTAGGTTTTATAAATTTTAACTTCATTAACAATAAAATATTCTTTAGGTTTTATAAATTTTAACGTCATTAACAGTAAAATATTTTTAAATATGTAAATTGTAATAAAAGGATGATTTTTTTAACTACATTTTATTAAATTTAAGGTTCACTGCAACCTTAATAAAACTCTCTACATCACAAATATTTATTGCAAGTTTTATCAGCGCTATAGCTATTAAGGAAACATTAAAAAGATATCTAACGTGATATTATTCATTAATAGTTACTCATATCTGGTCTTATATATTTTAATATTGCTAAAAATAAAATATTTTTAAATACATAAATTGTAATAAAAAGATCTCTTTTTAAACTACATTTTACTAATTTGAAGTTTTTTTTAATTTGAAAGTTCACTGCAACCTTAATAAAACTGCATATCACCTTTCATATTTATAACAAGTTTTGTCTGCACTAAAGAAAATCTGCACTTAAATCTGCAATTTGGGAAACAATAAAAAGATGCCTAATATGATATTATTCATTAACATCGCGTTAATGATCTACTCATATTAGGTTTTATAAATTTTAACGTCATTAAAAATAAAATATTTTTAAATATGTAAATAGTAAGGAATTTTTTTCATCTACCTAAATTCATTAATCTGAAAGTTTACTACAATCTTAATGAAACTTTCTGCATCATACATATTTATTACAAATTTTATCTGCTCTAATGCTATTTAGGAAACAAAAGAAAAATATCTAACACGATATTATTCATTATTAACAGCTCAAAATAAGAAATCGCCAACCGAAGTGGTGCCAAATGATTGCCGGCACGGTTTAAATCATCTTCGGCGCCCATCGGTTACTTTCATCTCCGTAAAGAACCAAGAAAACGCATGCGGTTCCTTCTAACATAGCTGTTGATAGTCCAAGCCATGATTGATGTCTTTACGATAACGAAACTAAAAAGCATCCCGCCACCCTCTCCGCTTCTCTGGGAGACACCCTGATTTGTCAGTCCCGTTTAGGAGGGCGGGAGGAGATAGGCCTTCAATGTTCTGTTTAAAAAAAACTGGAAGAAAAAAAGAAGCGATTTATATGTTTTTTATTGCACAGGCGACGGAATGTATTGTTGGAGAACGGATCTAAGGGGGCATCAAGATGCAAATGAGGGCGTGGCTAGGAGGATTGTGACGTAAGAATGAAAGGGGGGGAGGATTATACGGCCATCGTCATTGGGTTTGTCACAGTTTAATATACCACGAGGTGGAATGAATGGTTCTTCTTCAAATGAACTTTCTGAAGAAAACGGTAAAACGTTTAGTTTAAGAAGTTGTTGCTTGATTTTGGACATAAGTGTTCGAGTGCTAAGAGACTTATGAAAGATTAATAAACTTAAGTTTGCAAATTGAGATCTAAGAAGTGTGATTGAAAAAGTTGTTGACAACTTGCACGAAGTTTTCAAACTTTTACGGGAAACTCGGAAGTTTAGAAATATTTTATTCGTGGAACTTTCTAAACTTGCATTGTATGAGAAATATCAAATTTCGTAACAGATATTAAAGGTAGGTGCAATTTATTACTAGCGCTGTTATATAATTTGTAAATTTATATTCTGATATCATTAAACGAATGGGAAATCAGTTTGATATTTTCATGTTTGACGTTACCAAGTTCCCAACATGCTTATAAAAAGTTTTGTTTACATTGTAGATGTGCTAATATTAGAAGAATAAATAAAAATTAATAATTTTGTTAAAAATATAATAATTAGACCTTTATAAACTTACCTTTTTTTCTCGTGGAATTCTGTTATACAGTATAAAAAAATTCCGGATCGAAGTACGACACTCAAGGTGCCAGTACCGGAACCATTTTTACCGGAACATGTTACGGAATAAATAATCTGATGCACCATCATTTTTACAATAATGATTACCGTGAAATCACTCGAATTAAATAATTAATATTCTAAATATTACAGTATAATTAGATTACGGTAAAAATAGATTTTACGGTAGAATGTTTTTAATGGATAATGCACCCAAAATGTCAGTAATTTATACCGTAATTTCATCTGGAATTTCTCTAGTGTATAAAATTGTCTTGCTAGAAAAATTAGCCAATTGCTGAAAATAAGTAATTAAATTAAAAACATTTAGGCAAAATTTAGTAAGAAAATTATCAAAAATAATTATTAATATCTTAAAATTGTAATTTTTCATTTTTTTAATACTCTTAAAAACTAAACTTTTATCATTTTTCCTCAATTGTCGTCAACAATTGTTGCCGAATAGTACTGATTTTAAATTAGCATTAATGAATTTCTTATTTTTTAAATAAAAATTTTTCTACTGTCATCACACAAAACTACGCATTACCTAATCATTTCACAAATAAGCATAATCAGAATGATTTTGCATCTTGATTTTCTGCGTGTAAACTTATTAAATTCATATAAACTTATTAAAAAAAGAAACTTCTCGATTTAAAATTTGATGAAAATTGATAGTGTAAACATTGATTTGTGCTAAATGTACTCGGAAAAAAAAAACATTTAATCTTATAAAAATTAGAAATATTTTGCCTTTATTTGTATATTTTAGATTATAAATTTATTTTTTCGAAAATTAAAAAATGTTATATGTAAAAAAGTTTATATCATTTGCGTAGTGTTTGGAACCTATGGTTCAATTTTTAGATCTATCACCTCCCTCCCTAATTTTACTAATGTTTATATGCAGGTCAAAATAGTGCGAAATAAAATGTTATTTATTTTATACTATTTCCCCCTAGTCTGTGTTCGAAAAAAAAAAGATAATCAAAATTCTTCAAAATCTCTGATTTATGACCCATTTCGTAAAAAAAAAAAGCAATATTTTCAAAACATTTTTTATTTTCAAAAAAATGCAATATTTGCTCTTATAAATTGAAATCTAGCCACGCATTAATATAATAGCAATCTTATTGTATTTCTCAACTCAGTAAATGTGACATATGGTATTGTACACCATGTAAAGAAGTATATGATGTTATAAAAATACAAGCTAATCAAGGAAATATGAAACCTGTAAAATAACTCAAGTCTATGCCTTTTACCTTCTATCCTGTTAATATTAAATATTATTCTTATTTGTGGTTTTTAAATTCCATGGAGCTTAAAAAATTCTTAAATGAGTGCTCTTAAGGGAGTTGTTTTGCTACACCTTTTTCTATATATAAAAGAAGTACTTTTAACATCTCAGTAAAAAGGAGAACTATTATCTACTAAAATATCTAATAACGTTGAAATCCCGTTTTAATGCTTGTTTAATTAAAGAATGTCATTATGGAAGTAAAGAAAAGTGGTTAATACTGCGTGTCTATTGTGGTTGATATTGTGTGTATGCCGCCTTTACTTCCCAGACAAACTGGACTCATCGATATGAGGCTAGATCCGCTTCAAATTGCCACTAAGGATCAACTTCCGATCTTATAGTAACAGCTCGATACCTTTAATCATTGAGCAATCAATGTTTTTAAACAAAAGCTCAGAGCATTTAACTTCACTGTTAGAATTTTCATTCTTAAATTATGGTAAAATAACCGGCAGGAATCTACCCATCCGATTAACCGTAAAGTTTACGGTAAAAAACATTGTTTACATTTAAGGTTTGAGAACCTTTTTACAACTAGTATTCATGGTTATAAAACCATGAATACAAAATATACGGTTTTTTAACCATTTACTACTCGCATGGTTTCAAAACTGTGAAACAAATTTAACTGGACCTAGAACCTAGGCTTTCTATTGGATTATGGACATTGAGGAGTGTAAGTACACTGAAAACTCTTCATGTGTTGAAGGGAATGCAGGAAATATTGGAGTGTCAACGCTGGAACTTGAACCCCCGTTATACCTCACGGCCATAATATGTATGCAGTTGTAGGAAACTAAATGGTTCCTTTAGGTGAGCTTAGTTTGTGCAATAAAATTCAGATTCTTTAACCGTATTAAGTGAACGCAGTTAATAAATGGTTTTTCTCTCAGTTAATAGTTTAATTACTATTTAATTTATAGTTATTTGACTGTTTTATTTGAATGTGATAAAATGACAATTAAATTTTTATTTAACCATTTTTTCCGAGAAATCTCTAACAGTGCCATCGATGCTTTTTAGTAAAAGCTGTAACTACTCAGCCATCGATTCTTTTAATCACAATACTTTTAACCAATGTCTCAATGCCCTTAACCACTGTGCCATCACAGAACTATGAAAGTTCTATTGTGAAAATAATATTATGGTACGGGTGTTATGAAGCTAAAGAAATAATACAATACCCCTTTAATTTGAATTAAACTTTTTATCATAATTTCTCATCGAATTTTTTATTGCTGTGCAAGTTTTAGTTTTTCGACTAGAACTAAATTTCTACATTCTAAGCTCGTATTCGCCTTATTTTAACAAATTTGAAAATAGTAATTACTCAAAGATCTGAGCTTGGGGGTGGAATAAACTTTACAGAGAACGTATAATACCTACGGAGCATTTAGTAGGCTCTATAGAGAATAGCCCTTTTGAAAATATCAAGTTGATAATCTTGTTTTAAAGAAGTAAATGAATGTAAAGCATACTTTGTGTTTCTTATGAAATAAAGCAAAACAACGTGAATAACGTCTGTACCTTTATTTGTGCTTTATTCGCGTTGCTGTGCTTTATTTCACTAACTTGTGTGATGAGAATATATTCTTCGATTTTTATAAATTTGTTTCTTCTGCAGGATCCCACACTGATTTTTTTAATAAAATATCATCTACAAACATCACTTTATATCAATGACGTGAACTTGAACGACGTCAAAACTCATTCAAAATCTATCCTCATTCAAAATTCCATCAATCTTCCATCAAATTTCGTGAGCATCCGACCAGGAAGCTGGAGTGGTGCGACGGAGGTCAGGACTTTTCTTATTCTTACCAAGCCATGCTGGCCAGTCCACAGCAGGCAGCCAGTACACCTTTCTCAGTCAAGGACATCCTCAATCTGTCAGATCAAGCAGGAATCAACCAGGCTCTGCTGTACGCGCAGAGCCTGGAAAAACTTTTTGACGACGGTATGGATGCATTTTATGTTGGAACTGGTGGAGGAACATTGGTTACGTCAGCCTCCCCTACACCGTCATACATGTTTGGAGATTTCGTCAACCAAAATTATCAACAAACTACACCTTTAACTTCTCCTCACGTCCAAAGTTTGTCGAATTTATGTCCACCATTTTCTAGTGGAAGTCCGGGTCTATTGAGTAGCGGGTATGCTAGTGGAGGAGAATACGGAGACCCCAATATGGGCTACAACAATGTTGTCCTCAGGCATTCGTCTATCTGTTCATCCACAGATTCAGAAGATAAAAGTAAGTTCAATATATTTTAATGAATGTGATCAATAATGTAAAAAGTTCCAAAATTATTGTTTTTAAAAGAGCATGGCTAGTTATTTCCAGGATTTATATGACATCTTCTGAAATAATTATGTGATTTTCATACCCATTTAATATGTTTCACCTCCTGCCACCGTAATCACAATGCACTTCTATGTCCGAATTTTCTTAATTTCTTCGACATCCTAAGACCTTAGGCAAATTTTTGAGTTTCGGTAATAAAAAAAAGTTTGCAAGAGATTTATCCGAAGAATATAGATAATAATTCATTTTCCCTACCTCTGAAATCAAACAATTTACTACAAAAACAATTTTTAAGAACGTCGAATCCTTTCAAGATTAGTTTTTTTTTTCCAATAAAAAAGATTTGGAAAGATAAATTACAACTTATGTAGATCAAATAAGGTAAAAACAACTATATTCAGGCAAAATGAAATTAAAAGATAAACTTTTTGACCAGTTGGGAGAACTGGAACATATGTAAGCCACAGTGTTTCAGACGGGACGTATATGTCCCAATTGTGGTTTCATTTGAGGGACATATTTGTCCCGGTGAGGCCAAAAGGGTTACGTAAACTCCGAGAACAGAAATAAAGGGTATTTTGAAAGGAATATTTCAAAAGTTGTTTCTGAAACTTTCACCGTCTAGAACAAGTGAATTACACCAAATTAAGGTTACAGCGAAACATATTAAATGAATATATAATTCATTAAGATATTATATCAGTTTCAGAAACTAATAACTACGCCTTGTGTTGAGAATCCTTGCAGAAAAAGAAGTAAAAAAACTATACATACGAGGAGTCCCAAATTAATGCTGAAATGAAAAAATAATAATAATAACGTTTTCAGATATTGATCAATGTTATAGAACTCAAAAAGAGTAAAAAAGGAAACAAGTTTCTAATAGGAATGAAATGATTTGCTTTCGACTAGAATCATTGTTTAATCCTGAAATATATACGAAGTTTCAAATTCCCCTATGCTCTTATTGATTTCAATAATTATTGACGAAGTTATGAAGCCGACGTCAATAAAATTTGTTAGACTATGATTCCGGATACTATTATAAAAAAGTACGTTCTGCTTTACAAATAATATGCCATTATAAATTATACAGTTATATACTTAATTTGTAAATTGTATTTTGATTTGTAAATGTCGAAACCAAAACAATTTAGTTAAGTTCAGGAACGTATTTAAAAGAATGTATGCATCATTTTTAAAATTTTTCTAGCCTTTGAATATTCTCTAAGGAATCGTTTTGTAATAAAATGTTTTTAGGTATGCTAGTGCGCAAGTAATACATTCATATATCTACCTCTCTTCCTCATAATTTTAGCAAGTAACAATGTAACACTAACTTACATTGTTAGTTGTTAACTAGCAATGTAACAACAACTAACTTAGTTGAAGATTACGTAAAGGAATTTTATGCATCATTTGTAATAGCTTTCTAGTTCTTATATATGTTCATATCTATCACATTTTTTTAAATGGTTCTGCACAATTTCAGTATTTTGTACAAATATATTAGTTGCAATTTAAAATTTATTTCTTCAACAGTTATGCTATAATATAAAGTGTAATTTTAATTAAAATACCTTCAGTTTTTATAGTGCGTAACATTAATAGAATTATGTTATTTCAAATTAACTTTTACTTAGTTATAACATTAATACATTTTTAGGATTTTAACTCAATATAAATCGCATTTGGAATCGTAAAGTTCTTCGAAATACTCAAAATCGGAGTTGGAGGCGAATATTTCAACAAAAATCGGACTTGGAATCGAAAAAGGGTTCTTTGTAGTCGGAATAGAAATCCAACTGTTCAACAAAAATCGGATTTGGAATCGGAAAAGAGTTCTCCAAAATGTTCTGAGTCGGATTTCGAGTCGAACATCTCAACAAGCAATACATTGGACAGTCCATTAGAGAGCAACCTGTATATGAATGTATCTTTTCTTGATGTCCAAATAATTAACAAATCATTCTAATAAAATTTTAATATCATGATTGATCTGGTTTTTCATGATAAATATTCCTAAAAATTATGTTTAATTAGAATTAACTTATGCTAAAAAATTACGTAATTTGGTGCAAATATGTTTCGATTTGCTCATGAAATTCGCGAGATATAGGGAAGTACGCAAAAAAGGGAAATTATCATTAAGTAGTCCAAAATTTTGACCTCTTTACTGGCCTAATTATTGGGACAATATTTTTCAGATTGCGGGAGCTCCCTAAATTTTGAAAATGAAAAATCTAAATCTGACAGGAAAAAAAAATAAGTTCATTCAGTGAAAGCATCACGTTTTTGTGTCTGATTTCGTAATTTAAAATATCGTCTGCACTAATTAATCAGCATTTTAAACCATTAGGATTGAGTCCTGGTTTGAAAGTTTGATCATTAAATGAAAAGTTATTCAAGTTTTTTCCTTTTGCGCTATTTTTATGACATGATGAAATTACTGGTTATAATAACAGTCTTTCAAACAGCCTTCATTTGCATGACGTGAAATTTTACAGTCATGTTTAAATTATTAACTGATAAACTCTAAAAGAATTTAAAAACAAAAAAAATGACAATCTATCATTAGATCAGTAGTTTTTCACGCTAAACATAGTAATCTTTAAATCACAATCACTCATCGCATCACAAATTTATGAAAAATACTCGCGTTAACTTACTTATCGCCTTTATGAGTTTCATCATTTTTTACACGGAGAAAAAAATTCTGGTAAAATTACCGTAATCTAGGGTAATGACAGTTCTGGTAAAAAAAAACTATAATTATAGTTCATAAAAGCAAAATAAGGTACAAGGTAAAGGAACCATTCATTTGAAAAAATTTTCAATGATTTATAGAAAATTCTGGTTTTCTAAATTATCGTTCTTTACCACACTTTTAGTAACAGATGCAAAACTGGGAAGTAAATTTAACCAAATGGTTTTTTACGCCAAGCTTTAAAGTATCGTAATGAAATTACAAATTTTCCCACATTTACCAAATTTTATAACACATTATGAAACCATATTTGATTAATTTTACAAAAATCAACACCGAAACGCTTCAATAAAAATTACCAAGCTTTTTTGGTGTACCCATTGAGAAAGAAACGTGGTAAATTTTACCAATTTTACCGATATATTTTTCAACTATACGAAACCATATTCATAAATGAAAAATTTTTAAGTGCGTATTGAGAAAATATTTATAGCAATCCCAAATTTTAAGAAAGTGTCCCTTTTTGTTTGTATTTGTGTAAATTATTTTACAAATTTTTAGTTTTTTCAGTTCAAAATTTGTTTTTGTATTTTTCAAATACTTAAAATCCTCTACGAAAGCAAATTTCTCTCAATACTTGGTCGAGGTGCTTCGTCGTCGTCGTAAAGTGAAAATTAGGTTGTCTGTTCGATAGTTTTGAAATAAAATAAAAATACTCGAAGCCTAGTCACGGTGGCTAAGGTGATATTGAATTCGTCTCCCAATGATTTGACCCAGGTTTGAATTCCAGCAATAGCTGGTTGATACTTATTCTGCTTCCGGTTCGTACCGACCACAATTCTAACGTAAAATGTCCTGAGAAGTAGACGAATGCTGGGTTAGAGCCTCCTTGCCATCGTGCTAACCTTGGGAGGTTTTCATGGTTTTCCCCTCCGCAAATGCGCGTAGTCCCATCAAAAAGTCCCATATGAAGGCTAGTATGTTCCAATCCTTGATCCAGGAGTTCCTTTATCTTCTGGGTTGGGTTCGAAATTACAAGTATACTGAGTTGAACATTGATAATCGTAAACTCAGAATAGGGCGGCCTATTGACGATAAATTAGCTTTGCCGCTTTTAAACCAATATTTACTGTGACTTCGATAATGATAATTTAGGTTTTAATCTCTTTTTAAACGTTAATTTACGATTTTTGACATTTAAGTATTCGAACTTTTTCGAAAATGAAAATTTGCATGGTTTTCACTGGTTAATAAAAAAATGTTTAAAACTGACCTTTTTATATGGCTCGGCAACTTTTTACTGCAATAATAAATTAAATTATGTGATACAAATTCTGCTATAATCATGACGCAATTATAAAAAAATACATGCAATATTATCATTTTCTGCAAACGTTTATAAACAAAACATTAATGTAATTTCTGGGGGATATTTGAGGTAATTTCGTTGTTAGTTTTGTTTTTGACTAAATTTATTTTCCAAAATTAAAATTTTTATATGAAATTGCTGCCGTTTTAGTTTAAACTTTACTAAAGTTCAATTGTAAGATACTTCCTAAATACTTTAAACTGATCATACTTTTACTTAATACTTTTACATAAATACTTTTACTTAATCAAACTTCATTTTAGTAAAAAAAAAATTTCTTGAAATATTTTCCTGCTCAGGCAAAAATAAAATATTGAAAAATTTCAAATACCATTGCTATATAGTTAACATTTTTTATATATTTTGAGATTACCAAATAACAATTAGACTACTTTTATTATTAATTCTATACCAGAGCTAAGGATGTGAAATCGGGACATTTTTACTTCTCCGTGAAAAGACCGTAGAGATCTTTATATGATAAAGAACTCGAAAAAAATCTTGTAAAATTTTAATCAATATTTAGAGGATGTGTTTAAAAAAATATTAATCACAATAAAATACGTAGAGAAGATGTACAATGCACAAGGAGAAAAAGTAAGCACTTTGAATAAGTTCGAAAGAGTAACCGTAGTATATGCTAAATAAATAGTGCTGGCGAAATTTTAAGTTACAAAATCAGACACGAAAACGTACTTTCTCTGAATAAATAAACGGATTTTTATTCTAAATTCTCAAAATATGATGGGTCACCTCACTCTGAAAGCTTGGACAGGAGAGTGGTCAAAAGTTTGGGCTTAATAATAATAACTTTACTTTTTGCGTATTTCACCTTATCACGGAGAATTTAAGCGAATCAAATAATTTTTGCAC